ATCTATGATCATATTTAGTATTCAATATATTCTTTACTTCAAGCTTTGATTTTATATGTTATATAGTTGGCAAAGAAAGGTATGCTTGTGTATCGAAAAGTTCAATATTTTTCCCCAAGTGTATGGAAAAAGTTTCTCTAGAAGAAACGGAGCCGAAAAGAGTTGAAAAGTTAAAAGTCAAATGAAATTAAAGCATTAATTTAACGCCAGCTTTGCTTAGCTTTTGTGCTGCTCTGGTAATTGTTACCTTAGTACCTTTAATGGGTGAGTGTGTGTAAGTGCGTACACACACACACACACACTCACACTAATACACTCGCAAACAATGCACTCGAGGAAGTCGCGCTATTGTTGGCCATCATTAAAAGACGATTTGGAATCGGGGCTTGGGCCAAACTCCAATTTAAAACCCCCATGCCATACCATAAAACACCATCTTATATGTGGGCCTTTGCCTTTGGACCTGCGAGAGGCATTTAAAAAGCGAAAAGCGAAAGTGTTTGCCATATCCATTGCATTCGTTCTACTGCGATCGCAGGGGGGAAATGCGGAGTGATTTCGGTTGTCTAACGGGGAAATGGAGATTGATTAAAAGATTTACTCCAGCCGACGATGATGCATTTCCCTTGATAATTTTCCAGCGATCCAGCGATTTGCAGCTGGCTTTTGCCACTGGCCCCCGAGGCCGCCACTAATGCCTTAATAATATGATAAACTAGTGGCCCAGCCAAAAAAGAGATTAATTTCCAAGACAATTTCCCAGCAGCAACAACAACAAAGGCAACAGTGGCGGGAAAGCCGGCAAGTGAGTTGTTAGCCCAAAACTAAACGTGGCATGTGGCAAGGGGAATTTTGAATGTTGAACGCTGGATGGAGGGGCATGGTCAAGTTTTTCAGAGCAGAGAGTATACAGCGAACAGCTGAAACGCCGGTAACCGCTCACCTTTCTGACCGAAAGTCGCTTTTTGATGGCTTTCAGCTCACCGTGTGTTTGTCTTCCTCCTCTGCTCTTAGCCTTTTTCCTTTTTTTTCTTCTTATTTTTGTATTGTATTTTTGGCTTCGCTTGTTTGCAGTGCACGTTTTCCTAATTGCTCCACTTAATCTCCGCTTTTAAGACTTTTTGGTGGTCAGTCAATGGCCCGCAGTGAAAACTAAATACTATTCATATGTGAAAATGGATCCAGGGGCAGACCGCAATTTGGCTGGAGATAAGTTAAGTGTAAGTGAAAGATGAAAGAAATCAGTTTGCATTGGGCAAAGGTCGATGGACATGCATCTAGAAACCTTTTAGTTTTATCTTACATCCCAAAAAGAGTGTTTACTATTATATTATTATTGCCTGTTAAAGTTTTATTAAGATGAATAATTATATTGGGTTTGTTAGTCTCCGTTTTATGGGGACTTAAAGAAAATATATTTTTTCCCAAATGAGGAAATCCAGTCATAAAAGTTGGCAAACAATTGCTGTTAAGCTTTCGCTTCCCGAAGTAACACCATTTTCCCCCCGATTCCCGATCTCCAAACTCTGGCATCCTGACTATAGGCTGTATCCCCTGGGCGATTCTCTCCTTCTCACGATCGTTAAAAGCTCGCGAATCACTTCACCTGTAACTCAGTAGCTTCGCTAGCTGGCAGATCCAAAAAAATGAGCGTGAGTAATAAAAGTGAGTGTAAAGTTTTTAATTAACGAAAGTTGGCCATAAATATGGCTTGGAAAATGCATTTCCGAATGTCACACATACTGCATGCAGAGCTCGCTACCTTTATAAGAAATTTTCATATGTTGGACACGTACGGATAGCTATTATGGTAATTATGCAGGGCTTCGGTAGGCGGAAATTTCACTTTGTGCAGTGAAATTATTTATTGGCTTAAATATTCGCAGTATGCACCGATCGACGAAGAAGAAGAAGAAGAAGAAGAGGTGTCTGTTTGGAAAAGGCAAAGTGTCGATGATGTCTGGTTTATAATCATTTGGGTTTGCCGCCGCGTCACTTGAATTTGTCATTTACCTCTGTTGCTGTTGTTGCTGTTGCTGTTATTGTTGTTGTTGTTGTTGTTGCTGTTGCTGCCACTGCCCACGTTTTAGATACTCGTACTCGTACTTGTACTTCCAATGCATCTATCCCTACTTATATGCTTTATGATGTTTTAACTACCTCGGCGTCCACATGACATGGCTCCACATAAAGGCGAATGGAAAAGGGGGCGTGGGCGTTGATGTTTGAGGCAGGGAAAGGGGAAGCGGAGCAGACGGCTTCGATGAGATTAGACACACACACGCCAGCACAGTAATCACCCATTAAGAGCATTTCGCAGGAACATTCCATCTTCAAGCCTAAAAACCAAGATTAAATCTTTTAAATGTTACAGCTGCTTCTTCATTATTTTTTATTTTCCATAAAATATTTTAAAAAGCCAAAGCTATTCCTTTTTCTATTTTTCTATTCCTTTTTAAACACCTTTATACATATTTCCACACTAAAAAATATTGTTTATATATTTCTTAACGGAAAACGGGATATTTTTCAATTTAACTTAACTCTCATTTATTTTAATATACAACGGAGAAAGGCCGTCTAAATGTGATTTAGTGTATTTAGCGTCTTAAAGCGCCGAAATGGTAAAAGCCGTATTTCTAAAAAGCATAAATTTATTACCATAAAATACCCAGGGGCTCATATTTTTCGCCAGCGACCACTGTACTCGAAATAATGTGAGTTGTCGAGTGGCGAGTGTGGATAGTATCTGTGTGCTCGAGTGAGTTCCATTGCACTTCTCCCCTGGAAATACATATCAGGCGACACTTAACTATTAAGCAAGAGCCGGACGAAGTGGCAGGAGAAGAAGGCGAAGGAGCCGGGGTCTCTCCTATTTTTAACAGCATGGAGTGGGCTTGTGCCCCACAGTCCCCATTCCAAGCATCATCCTCATCCCTTCCCCACTTCCCGGTTTTATTCCATCTCGGGAAGAGTCAGTACTGCCAATTTTTGAGACAAATATGAATGTGTTGAACGGGAAAAGAACTTAAAAATACATTCGGGAAACATGTTTATTTTGACAGTTTATTTAAATTGAGAAAATTAATCAAGTCGTAGGATTGAAATGCTATGTTGCTAACCATTTGATTTATACAAACCAAATATGGAAACAATTTCTTCTCTTATTGTTTTGAAGACATGAAGCATTCTTCATAAATTTCACATATGCATCAGCAAATAAGAAAATTTAAATAAATAGGAAACCTTGCAATTTAACAATGACTGCATTCAAATATTTCCTTTATTTGAGATGTGAATTAATGCAAATTGAAGGGAAAATAGCTGGAGTGTCAACTCTGGTGCAAGTGCATTACGCCTGGGCTTTTACTTACCCGCACTGAAAGCTGCGAGGAGCGGCGGGATGTGGCGGGTAAAAAGAGGGCAAGTGGCATGGTGGTGTCAGGTTGCCGCATGCACCACCGCTCCGCACTCCGGCCGCACGGCCTGCACCACCACCACCACCACCAGTGGGTCGCAAGTCCCACGACCCACCAATAGTAAAATAGCGAAGCGAAGAGGAGAAGCAAATGCGACGACGGCCAGTCAACTTTTGGCTCGGCTAAACAAAAGTGTCTTCGCAGAGGCTAAAAATAACCACTGTTTTGACCCAAAGTTTCCCCCTTCTGTCGACTTTTTGGCTCTATGGCCCGATCCTCTTAGTCGCTGGTTTGCGCTTCCTGTTCTGTGTGTGCTGCAAATCTGTGCCAAATGTTTTCCAAGAAAACCAAGTATGCAAATACATTTTGCATTTAAATTCTCGCTGCAGCAGCAGTAGCAGCAGCAGCGGCGCAAAACAGCAGCAAATGCAGCAAAACGCGGCAAAAGGGGCGGCCTCATTAGTGGCAAGACACTTGAAATTAGAGTTTTCATCTGGCCCCAACCGTTCGGCGATGATGAAAGTGATTTATGTCCGGCAAAGGCGGTGTGTTCCTCAGCTCCTCGGAGACCGGAGACCAGAGACCAGAGACCTGATGTCTGGGTTGGCAGCAGCTTCATCTTGGTTGGGAAACATGTTTGCAGGTTGCTACTTTGTTGGCAGAGCGTACTCTTACATTTCTGGTGTTCATACATACTCTCTAATAAAGATTACAACCTCTTTTAGATGTAACGTAAGGTCAAAGCTTAAAATTTTTAGCTTACGAGTTAAAATCAATCTTGCGAAGTTTTAAATTTTCCTTTTTAATTCAAGGTTAGGATGGTTTAATTCTATATATCAGATTTTACAAAAAAAAAAAAAAAAATATTAAATATTCATTTTCTAGAATAAAAGTAAACCAATTTAATAGCTAATATAGTCAAATACCCAGAACCTAAAATCAAACCCAATACAGGTGGCACTTGTTTTTGCAGAGAAACCAGATTCGAAAACCTTAGAAACAGAAGAAGCAGAGAGCAGTAGAAACATCTCAAGAAACGAGAAAAAGAAGCTGAAAAAAGAAACAATTGCATAGGAACCCTGAAGTGCACTAGACCTGAACTATTTTTTCGCTTTATTTTTTTAGTTTTTTGCGCTTTTTGCAATGGCACGGCATAACTGAAGCATATCTGCGCACACTTTTCTTGGCGCACATAAAACTAAATGCAGAATGTTAATCCCGCAAGTGTTTAAGAGCGGCTTAAAGTATATGTTTTATTTTCGCTTGAGTTCTTTGCTTATTTCAAACTTTTTTGTGACCTACACTCGGCCAACCCACCACGAGTTGAGTTCTTCCGCAGCGAGAGAGAGAGAGAAAGAGATTGAAGGTGGGGAGCGCAAATGAGAGTGAGCTCCAACTCCAATCAGCATCAGCTGTAGTTTGTTTTTGTTTTGATGCGCCACATGGCTTGGCGCTCGCTCTCCGGCTCTCATTTTGTCAGCTTTTGCGCTCTGAGTGAGTTGGGTTTTGGGATTCGTGGTCGTTGTTTTTGGATCGATAAAACTTCTCACGCTGCCGTGGTATAAAATGCTTTTCACTTTTCCCACTGCACTTTAGTCGCCAGACTTTTATCGAAACGTGCACATCACCAGCGGTCGCACACCAGCACACAAGGGGATATACACAAATTGCTATATCCACTCTATATCCTTCGAACCGAAAAATCACGCGAGTGCAAATCAAAGATTTCTAGCTTTCTTTGTGAGTGAAGTGTTTGGGAATTTTCGGAAATGTGGCTGGGAAAATATTGCAAGATGCGTTTTGAGATAAAATCCTGACTTACCTAACTGAAGGAATTTTCTCCGCTTTCCGTCCGCTCTTCCTGCATCTCTCTCGCCATTCGGCTCTCTCGTTTGTGGGATGCTCCTTGCATTCTGTGAAAGTAGAGGACTTATTGATTTTACGCACATGCAGCATCCCCAAAACTATGAGTCATCATCTGCCATCCTGCAACATTTTCCCCCCACGTGCCTAATCTCCACTTTTCGCCCTTTCCGCGTTCGCTTAGATTTTTCCAGTGCGAAAAGTAAAGCAATTGCATCCATCCAACAGAGAGATTATCCTTTCGCCAAACAAACAAACAGAAATGGCCGCCTACGCTGCTTTCAAACACGTTGAGCTTTACAATGTTGGCAAAGCCAAAAAGAGGTAAGAAATTTAAAAGGATAAACCTGAAATAAGTCAATACAGAACAAAGGGTTCGCAAATACGGAATCGAATATCTTTCTTTGTTAATTTGTTCCGCTATTTTAATCGAGAGCTTAAAATAAATGATTTACAAGCAAGGGAAGTTAAGCCGCTTTGTTAAAAAAGAAAGAAAATGTTTAACTCTCCACACGAAAAACTGCTTTGTTGTCAATTTCCATTGTTTAAAAGTGTCTCCTGAGATTCAAAAATATTTATTTTACCATGACACACGATGATACTACCACAAAGAAAACGATAATGCCTTTTTGTTTATAGAACAAATAGTTATTTTATCAATGTTTTCCCAAAATAGTCTTAGTAATGATGACGAGCTCAAAGGAAACGCAATAATCTCCATTTGATAATGACGAATACTGATTTGTGGATTGGTCATTAAATAGGAAAACAAATACAAATAATTGTGTTATCTTGTATTGAAGTATTTTTTCTATTTAATTATTTGGTCTAGTTAAACATTTTATGTTCCCATTAAGACATTATGTGTCACTTATGAGGCAATTGTTCTCGCTTAAAAGATTATTCAACTTGAAGGAATTTATATTGATGTTATCCAACGAGCGACTCATTTTCCCTGAAGTTTATCAAGTGTTACGTGCCTATTGCATATGTATTTGTTATTGTTTGCCGCCGCTCGAGTGAACTTTGATTGGCAAACATTTCGGAAGGCGGCAGCCGCATCTCATCTTGATCTGCATCAACATCTTCATCTATATCCCATTGTCTGAGCCGCCGGGCCGCACAACCACACGCTGCATATTCATTTGGTTATGTGTGTGGATTCATTTAGCGTTCGTTCACCCCGCCGCCTGACTGACTGACTAACTAATAATACACATACACTCGCGTGTACACGGGGCGTATGTGTAATCTGGGGGAGCACCACTTTTGCAAGCGCCTACTTCCCACAAAAACCGAAACCAACCGAGGCAGCCAAACACCCGATTACCTTAGCCACCGAGCAAGTGGAACCACCCAAGCTGACGGTGTTGGCATGTCTTTGGATGTCTCATTGATTTTCCTTTGCCATCGGCCAACTGCCCCAAGTCGAAGCCACCGAACAAAGCACCACCCCCACCGACAGTCCGTCCACTCGATCCCACCACACAAAAGTCCAAAGGGACCGGCGTTCTTTGGGAATATACGAGTATACCCTTTCCTACTTCCAAGCTTTGACAATCTCTTTTCAAAGCCATAAAAACAATGGCCAATTTGCATTTTTAAGAAGGTGTTTTCGAAATACTTATTTTGACGTGACATAAAATGTGAGAAAGATCTACTTATTGTGTTATCGGAAGTGAAAAGATTAGTGAATTCCAGATAAATTAATAATTTATTATTGTTCACTTATTTTATTTCCTGGAGCTGCGCTTTCTGAACGTCAATTTTTATATTGGTCAAGCTTTATTTATGGAGTAAAATAAAGAAAAGTAAGCTGGACCCTCACTACTGTTCCTTAGATTTATAGCGGTTTTTATGACGTACTAAATTTATTAACAGTCTATAACAAACCGAAATAGATTTTTTCTGTAAAATTCAATTACACGTAGTTTTTGAAAGTATATTGGGCAATCATTCCGGTGATTTAACGTCTAAACTGATTAGATAGGCCATTTATCCAAATGATACGGAATATAATAAAATGTTTGATTATTGAACAATCACGACCTATTACCACTAAAACATAAAGCATTATCTTATTACCGTTTATCACCGCTTGTGCCAGGGTATTTCCCCCATCGACTTCTCCACAGCTTTTGCCAGCCTTTCTTTTTTCGTCGGTCTCGGCTATTTTGTTTTTGCATGCAGTTCTTTGACCAAGCCCCAGCCCAGCACCACCCATTTTTTCCAGGCCTTTCGAGTGGGGAAACAAAAATCGTTACCACCGAAATGCTTTTTGCCTTATGTCTGTTCCGTTTACCGCACTTACGCTCTCGTACCTGTCCCGTGTTCGACTTTGGGCTTCGACTTTTGTCCAAGTCCGCTTCCCTGTCCGCTCGACTATCTATCTGTCCGTCCGTTTGTCCGTCCATCCGTCCGTCCGTCCGTTTAACTGTCTGTCCGTCCGTGGCGGACATTGAACCCCTGCTACTCTCCGCGGGCTGTTTGGGATCGAAGATTAGTTAGTTTTGGCCGCCACAGAAACCAAACAGAAACAATTTTCCTTATGTGTGCCATGTGCATTATAAACAATTTGCTGGATTTTATGGTCCATCGATGGGTGGCTTGGCTGGCATGGTGGCTTGACTCGACTCAGGCTAGGCTGTGTGGAAAATGTGTTAATCATTGTCATTGATTGCGATTGTGTAACAACATACCGCCTTGGACTTTCCCGCCAGAGGCCAAGAGGAAAATGATTAATATACTTTTTCTCTGCATTTGGATGCAACGTTTTGTGTTCCCCTTTTCTTCGGCAAAGCCGTGACTTATTATTGTAAACAATCAAATTAAATCTCAAAGGTGCGACGCGCGCACCAAGATATCGGATTGAATTGTCGCTCTTTGTTGCGTTGTATAAGCGGCGGAAATCATGACAATTCATTTTGTTTATGGCATTGTCTATCCATTTGACGATCATTATACGCTTGAATTCCTTTGCACAATGCCCGCATATCTCTACTGTTTACAACCTGAAGTTAACCTCATTCTGCAAGGAAAGTCGGCAAACAAATCAAGAATTTCCATATATTTATAACCATTACTAATATATACTATAGATATATGTGTACCCAGTTGGGAATGTTTTATTTTGTGGCGTTGCCAAGTCAACATTTATGTAAATGATTGCAAAACATGCGGAAAGCGAGCCAAAGTCATTATGAGGAATAATCAACAGAAATCTGCACCACCTTCTCCTCACACTAATAAACATGACCTATTGAGACAGCAGAACCAAAAAAAAAAAAAAAAAAAAAAAAACGAAAAGGAAATCAAACACATTTTTGTGTAATGCCTGCGTCAATGTAATTCCTGTTGACACGAAAATCGGGCAGGAAAAGTGGGCAAAAAGTTTTCGGGGCTATCAGCAGTAACCTGGCAACCTAAAATATATATATTATATACAATGGCTTCTTGATGGCTACTGTACCTCAGAGTGCCTGACACGATGAATGAGGCTGTTCAATATTCAATTCCCATCGATCGGGGAGCAGCAGCAATTGGAAGTGGATTGTGGAGTGTGGAGTGTGTCCTCTTGTCGGGAGGAGCTCTCTGCTCTGCCACTGAATATATTAGAAAGTCCTTTCGCTTTTTCTACAAAGCTGCAAATTAATCAATACAAATTTATTAATTACATATTTAAAAGAGCCAGAGCTGCAACTTTCGCTGCGATGAGTGTGTGTCAGCAATTCTGGTATGGTTTGACTTTGGCTTTTTGGCTTTGGCTATGGCTTTGACTCTGAAATGCACAATTTACGAAGCCAATCCCAGCTTACGTACGCATATACATAATAATAATAAAAATGCCAGCATCACTATCGGCATCTACATACATGCGGTTTTCCAAGTCGCCAACTTTTCCTTTTTCTCAAACTGCAACTGCAACCGCACTCGGCTAATCGATAATTATTCATCGGGCTCAGGCCAACACTATCGATAATTGACAATCTATGGTTTTACAACCGCCACAACAACGATGGAGACGACGACCACGACGCTTCGACTCCAACTCCTTCTCCTTCTCCTCGGAAATGTCCAATTATGAATTTTCATCAAATCCCGGTCCGTCCATTAATCACACCTCCCGAAAACACCACCCGCTGCGGTTTGATTTGGTGCCCTCTTGTGTCTTCCTGATCATCATCGTCTTCAGAGGAGGGGAAAAGCTTCAGCTCCCCTCCCGCTGACATTCGACACTTTTCACGACCGTGACTGACCAGGAAAACATATCAATTTAAATGCTATTGCTTTGATTGAGAGAGGGAAATGGGTAGGAAAGTGCGTGGACCTGGCACTCAAATTGTAGTTGAATCATGGGCAGAGGAAGTTGTGTTTAATTGGGAGGCTCAGCAGGAGATCCATTGAATTTATCTGCTGATGGTACAAGAAATATGTTTTTAAATTCCACACGAAAGGCTTATGTTTGAAAGCTTAATAATTAATGGATGAAAGAGTGTTCCACCTATTATTTTTATTTTAACATTACGGATGCTTAATGATATCTTTAAAATCTTAAATATTTCTGTGCATTTCTTAAAGTTTCCTTCATTACTTTTTAATTAAGAAGGCTTTAAGCTTGATTATAGAATTAGGGTAATCTCAAGGAAATACTTTTCTATTTCTTTTCCTTAAACTATAATTTCTTCAATCTTTGAAATGCCTCAATTGACCGATTCGATTGATAGAGATATATATGTGTCGGCCACAGCTGATTGGATTCGGAAAGCTTTTGAGTGGAAAGCAACGGTAAACATACCGCGCTTGAGCGATCTCCACCGCCACGCCCCCCTCCCTTCCCCCGTCCACTGGGTGGTGGAGCTCCTCCCCTTCCTTTCGATCGGCGGGGAAAGTAGATTCTTCGGCCCAGGCATTTCTCCTCCACTTGTGCAACATTGTGTTTTGTTTGATTTAGCCTTTGTCTGAAGTTGAAGCGGCGGCAATTATAATGGATTCGACTAATCAACGTTTTTAGGTAAATCAAAAATGGGAGGGAGAGACAATCATAACAAAAGTGGCAGCAACAATAGAAGAAAACCGCACACAATTTTCGTGCTTCAGTTGGATTTTCATTAGTTTTTTTTTTACTGCTGTCCATTTTTTTTTTGTTTTGCGGTTGCACGAAGCGGACGGGACACGTTTTAAATGAAACAAAAGGAAGCGGCAACGCAGCCACTGCAATGTTGATGCAGTCGAGCAGCAAACATAATGAGCCGAACAAACCCAAAACTCAATAATAAATGGGTAGAGGGGGAAAAGTAGTTACCAAACAAAAAACAAAAAAAAAT